TAAAAGCCAGTTCAAAAAGATGTGTTTTAAGGGATTTAACTATTAATAAAGATGTTAAGCCCTCACCTCTGTAGGCCCAAATGCAATCTTCTCAAATACCCTTAACAAATGATCTCAATAAGCATGGCTCAGGTCCAAATAGCTGTACATAGGCCTTTAAAGATATTGACCACTCTGGACCATTTTGTCCAGAGATGAATTGCAACCATTTCAGTGCTTTTAACACATATGTAATATTGTTCCTCTGTACTCTTCCCGCAAACAACTGTGCTGTCAACTTTTGTACTATTGAGTTTTCTGGATTAGCTCCATATAAAGTGCAATATCATAATTAAACATGAAGTTTACACTAATGAACCACAATTTTAAAACTCTGCAAAGAGTGCAGAGAAGACCAGCAAAGATGATTAAGGGATGGAGGCTAAAACATATAAAGAATGGTTGCTGAAATTCAGTATGTCTAATTTAATGAAATGATAGCAGTCATGATAGCTGTCTTCCAATATCTCAGAGGCTGCCCCAAAGAAGAGAAGATAAAGCTATTCTCCAAAGCTCCTGAAGGCAAGACAAGAAGCAATGGATGGAAGCTAATCAAGGAGAGAAGCAACCTGGAATTAAGGAGAAAAATTCTGACAGTTAAAACAATTAATCTGTGGAACAACTTGCCTTGAGAAGTTGTAAATGCTCCAACACTGGACCATTTGTCTGAAATGGTGTAGGGTTTCCTGCCTAAGCAAGGGATTGAAGTAGAAGACCTCTAAGGTCCCTTCCAACTCTGTTATTCTATTCTATTTTTTTTTTAGACAGGGACCCTGGTGATGAACATCCAAAGTTGATAACAGCAACTGAAAACCACTTCCATTTCTTACTTTAATCTGAGAAACCAAAAACAATCAGATCCAGAAACACTCCATTGATGTATTTGCTTCTTCTGGGAGAGTACATTCCTATCCTACTAGACTTTTGGAATATTAGCTGTCTAGGACTTCCAGGGGACACATCTCCAAAAAGGTAGAGACAACAACTGTGGCTAGAAAGCTAGTTTTATGGAATCTCTCCAGAAAAGGAAAGGTTGAGAGATTACCCACATGTGCTCCAGATAGATGCTCCTCATGAGAAGTCCACAGGATAGTGGTCTCCTGCAGGTCTGAGAGAAGATGAAGGGTTTAGCCATCATGCTCACAACTGAGACAGAACATTTTAAGGATACAGAATTTGTTAACCTCACTTTCAAATCATTTTCAGAAACTGCCATTTAACTATCTTAATTAGAGATCTTCAGAATGATGAGTCTAAAAAGCCATGGACAATTTACATTCATTCTTCAACAAAAGAAATATTAATTGTAAGGTTAAGAATTTAAAGAATTGGAAATAAATATCAACTTGTTAAATGAGATTTTTATCCAGGAAAGTTATAAATGAATTAAGGGACCAGAGAAAAGTGGAACATTTGGATCTTTGCTATAATATTGATTTTTTTCCTTGCAAGCTCCCCAAATTTCCCCATTGACCTGTAGGAAGATATCAGTTGTAAATGAAGATCATGTGACTGCAGCAGTGCAGTTGCACATTGAACAGCAGCAGCAGCAGCTGTATGTTAGCCCATTTGAAATATTGATGCATTGTTTCACCCAGTTAAAGGTTACATCATGAAACTTTTTATAGTATAGCGCTGTGCTGGTGCAGCCGTTAGAATGCAGTATTTCAGGCTAATTCTGCCCACAGCCGGGAATTCAAGGTCGACTCAATCTTCTATCCTTCTGAGGTTGGTAAAATGAGGACCTAGATTGTTGGAGACAATATGCTGACTCTGTAAACTGCTTAGAGGGGGCTGTAAAGCATTGTGAAGTGGCATATAAGTCTAAGTGCTATTGTTATATAGTTAGAGACTT